GCATCGGCCAATATAGTGTGAAGATTTGAATCTTCCTCTATTTGCTCTTTTTCGAGCATTATATCCTTCCTATCTGCCGTATTCTTACAATTTTGATATTCCTCTCGGATCTCACTATTTCTGGAGTTGTTCCTTGCCTAGATTTATTTGTCTAGTGCCGCTCTCCAGCAGCGCTATCGCGGACCTACATTGCTCGTAGGTATCTTCGTCTATTGCGGGATAGTCCAATTTGACTGTATACTCCCTATAGCGCACTATCAAGTTCTTCAGCGTCGTTGGCTGGACATGATTGGTCTCTTGTGGAAATGGAGGGACATGTTGTTAGTTACTGCTTTGTGTTGATGAAATATGATACTTGCTAATAGAATCACGTTTGATTCTATTAAATTGTTCGAAAGGTAGAATCTCGTTCTATTCTATTCAATGATTCGACTGTTGTAGGATCACGTTCGATTCTACTTAATAATTTCAAATCCATAGAACCACGTTCGATTCTGTTTCTATTCCAAATCTGTTTTTTTTTCACTTTTTGGCCGATGTACCAAAATGTGCGGGGTGGTTCAGTGGTGTTTGTGTTTGTTTGATTAGATTTATAAGTATCTCACAACAAAGCAATCAATGGCACAATAAATACCGAATGTAAATGTAAGTGCGATTGAAAACGCTGATGTAAATGCAAAGGCTTAAAATAGAAAGTACAAATCTCTAATGTTAAACCAACGTCTTCCTTTTAGAGTTGTTTGCGGTAGAGTGGGGACCATGCTTTTTGGTGGCCGCGCCCGCTTGACTCCCCTAATCACAGTTGGCGTCCCAACGTCGTCTCAGACAGTTAGAGAGCGACGAGGGACGGGGATCGTCGACTCAGACGACGATAGCAGTGAACGAGTGTGTGAGCGAGGAAACAGACTGCACCACTCGCATGACCTGCCTTGAGCCAACCGGTGCCAACGTTCTGTAATGAAGAAATCATCAACGCGAAAGTAGTTCGTGCTTAGGATTACCTTCCCGACGCCAATTCTTCGTTAATCCCCGTCTGATCCGCATTGGAAAAGGCAGACAGAGGGAACTTCTTTATCTCTTCCCTTACGCGTTTCACGAAATCAGTCGCCTCCTGCTCCGTATGTGCAACGTATGTTCTTTGTGGTCACAAAACACGTGACCCGCCTCGATCGTAGCCCACATTCTCGAACAAATTTGGCAATCCACGATTTAGATGCCCTGAGGTCCTCTATGAGCCTGTGCTCACGATTCAGGCGAACAGCTATGTGCCGAACTATGGCGTACGACAACGGGAGTCCTAGATGGCCCATGTAACTTGGCGCATTTTGTCAACGTGCAAGTTACATTCCAGCACAGACATTCAAAACCATACCTTGCTCGGTTGCTTCCATCACTTTTTCTCGAATAAGAGCAGAGAGGCGTTTGAAATTAAGCGCTCTCGATTCTTCAATCATTCCTAGATCGAAAAAATGGGAAGCCAATAGACCTTCGCTGATTCAGTTTAATTTTTTTAGCAACTGCCCTTGTGTACCTCTTTTTCGATCTCACGGAGCGAATTTAGATGCCGTGCAGTTCTGATCCACTTAGACCGGTTCGCCATGGACGCTAAAGAACGGGTACCCTTTTCCGTATCACGGTAATGGGCAATGGCGCGGCGAATCTGTCGAGATACAGCAATTCACATTGAGCTTTTGTTAGACAGTGCTAAAACTAACAGTTTCTTGAGAAATGGGTCTGCCGTCGAAAAAAACGCTTCTCTGGGCTGGTATTTCAGTGTTGCTACGGTCATCGTCGTCATCCTCTAGAGTCCAGCTGACCTCTTCTTTTCCGTCCAAAGATGCCTATAAACAACGCAGAATCTGCTTTGCTCCCAACTACCCGTGTAAAGTTTACCTGAAGTACCTCCCCTTCTTCCTCAAATTCGACGTCGCCATTTTCTCCGCCTCGAAGAATCGCTCTGAAAGCGTCGGCAATTGCGATCTCCTTTCTCGTTGGAGGAGAAAAATCAGGCGTGAAAGAGTATAGTAGTCGGCCAATAACTCCAGCTAGTGAAAAAGCCATGTCGAGATTGATAATGGGTACAGTGGTAGAGTTGTAATGGTTCGTAAGTTAGAAAGTAGAAAGTAAGTAAGTAAGTAAAATAAGAGAATGTTTTGCACATCGAAGAAGTCTTGAGCAATTCCATATTCTGCTCTGCGAGGGTTGTCAAGTCCAGTGTTCACAGGTGCGAATCATTCAATGTTGATATCGGCGCCAGTACGTCCAGTAGAGGTTATTGCTGGTTCTGGTCACGACCATGGCCAGTCAGGCACTAGCTTTGGTCCTGGTGCAATAAGGAGCCAATCTGGAGGTGGCAGCACAAAATGCAAAAACGGCAAAGCCTTGGGGATCCAAACCATCAACCCAGTCCAGCCGTCCCAGATTGAAGCCAATATCGCTACCCACCACACCATCCGTCGCTGCTGGCAGTTAGGCCGTGGAGCACATATATGAAACTTCCCCGCACTTCTCAGCATTTTTCAACATGTGGGCCCCTTTTTTGGCTACCTTTCACGTTATTTTCAGTGCGCAGTCAACTGGCGTCTTCTATTTTACGGACAGTCGTCGCCGTGAATGAAACAAACGACGCTTAGTGGGTTAAAACGGCGATTTTCGACAAAATTATTTTCACTCGTTTTTTGGCATTCAGAAGGCCATTTAGCGGAAATGGACCATAGTTCTATACTCAGTGCTCATGCCCCTATACCATGCAAAAAACCATTTTCAAAAAGCGTCCCACGCCCTGAAAGACCTTCCTTGTAAGAGGAATCAACAGGATGAGGAGAGTAAAGTGTTACACAGCAGTGTCCAATGAGCAAGGATTTGCTAGGGCATCGAAAAAAAAACAAAAAGGGTCAACACACGTTGCAGTAGATTCAGGAAACTCTTTTGCATTGCTCGTTCCAATAAAAAACACAAGTCTTGTCGAGTAGAAACGTAATCTCCTGAAGTTATTGTGGTTGTTACTAATTACTTATGATTATTCTATGATTTATTTATGTGTTTGTCCTGAAAAAGAAGTCAATGTTCAGTTTTAGGTGAGACTTTTACAAGGTTTTGAAAATATTTGGTGGAATAAACCATATTTGCTCCCATCATAGACCACGTTGTTTGTAGAATTCTTAATGTATTGTCTATTGTATAGACTGAAAAAAATTCCAAAAAGTCGCGATCTCGCAAAAAGAGTGGTGAAAAAACCTCGACGCGCATGTGCGTCACCCGGTCTCTCGCGGTCTGCAAGGCTTGACGAGCCGCGTCAAGGTGTCGTCAATGGGTTACAGAGTTTTATTACCGTAGACTAGAAAAATTCGATATTTACAAAAATGAAATTCGTGTAAGATGTAAAAACATTCTTTTGGTCTTTTTCTGAATTTTCACTCATCTGTGATATCAAACAACATTTACAGAAACGACGTAGTTGTTTGATAATAGGGCATCTCGTCTTCGAAAGGTCATTAAACGCTGTCCTGCTGATCAGTTAGGCCATCTCACACTTCCAAGGAATATTACAATATTTCTCAATTCAGCAAAGACTATTCATCAGCTACTATTTGACCTAATGGGTGATTTATATGCAACTGTTAACTATGGGAAGGAAGCCTTGCTTAAAACCTTTAATGTGTTCTGAGGACACATTGTACCGCTTTCGAGGTTTCATGGGGTATCCTTCAGCTTCAACGCAGTTCCAACCCGCACAGCTACAGTTGTACTATACTACTTCTGCACCTACCCAACCGCTCCAACCCATTCTGCAGCCTTCGCTCCATAATACTTCAGCACCTACCCAACCGCTCCAACTCATACCACTTGCAAAAATATGTTCAAATTCGTTACGAACAAGACCATCTGAGTTGTTTAACAGCCATTTTTAAGATACTTCCTACAAGGAAAATTAAGCTTCTTTATATTTTATTGGAATACTTGTTGAAATTTCTATCATCTTGCATGGTAATAAAACTCCTTAAACCGAAGACCATGGGAATTTTACGTTGAAAAACTAATTTTCTTGAAGTTTTATTTACTCATCATTCGCAGTCTCTCTCATAAGTAAGATGAGGTTAGTTTAGATCGAGGGGAGGCGCGTAATTAAGATAAGCTTAGTTGCGTTTGAGGTCACTTCGCACCTCGACGCGAAGCGATCTCAGTCGTAACTAAGTACCCACACCCTCCATAGCCTCTCTCGATTGGATGAGTTGTATCAATCAATCGTACAGAAGTTGTCATACTTCTGAAACAGGGTTCAACACTATCAGTGAAGGTAATTACTCAGCAGTTGTTGCAGAAGAAACACAAACGAAGAAGCGTGCAACAGAAATAGAAACACATAACCAAACAGCGTTCAGTAGTCTTTCACTAAGGGAGGGTAACTACCCATCAGTAGTCTTGGACGAAACATGAACGAGAAAACATGCAGGAAAAGAGTCATACAACTACAAAGACACATACACGAAACGATATTTCAACAGCATATTGATTGTAGAAAAATACTTCTCAGTAATCACTTTAGAATAACGTGCTCGAACGCTACGCAACCGCCAATTAGTACGTAGTGACCAAGGGGCTCCTTTCATAGCCCGCTGGCAGGCCGGCGGACTATGAAACGCACTGACGTAAAACGAGATAGTCCGTATGTAAGAGATCTACGTCTGTTGCGTTTTATTTCGCGGCCACAGCAGGTCAGAACCGTGAATTAAAGTGCAACAGACGTAGATTTCTTACATAGGAGTTAATTCGTCTCACGGACTACGAAAGCAGCCAGGGCCGTATGCATAACGCCCAGGGTAGGGAACAAGAGAGTCACCCGAAGGAGGGTGTATGTCGTTTGGCGCGATCCCTTCCATCGCGCCGCTTATTCGACGCGGTTTGCGAGCTGGACAACTCGCCCACGTGATCAAGCAACCCACTGCCTATCCAGCTGATAGAAGCCTGGTCGATGACGCCATGCTGATAGGCAGGTCCACAATGAGGAGCCTAATAGCAGCAGCTCATCGATTGGGCTGAATGGGCAGTGGGTTACGCGATCACCTGGACGAGTTGTCCGGCTCGCAAATCGCGTCGAATGGCCGGCGCGATGGGAGGGATCGTGCCAAAGGACCGCCCCCTCAAAGAAACCGTGGGCCAGATAAGTGACGCAGGAGCAGAGTATTTTATGCCTCCTATACAATGTTAGAATGGTATGCGGAGTTCGTGTTTTTCGTTTAAGTGAACCGTAATTTAAAGAGAGTGTGAATGTTTGCCCCAATAAAGCACCTAACAAAGTGGAGGGGAACTATACCCTAAGAAAGCTCAAGGAAGTAGCAAATTGTTAGGAAGTTCTAAAAATGCACTTGAAGGGTTGTGGAAATCATTCACCGAGCATCGAGTTCATCGCGCACCGAGGTATTAAGCAACCTTAATTAAATTCGAAAATTAATAATGCAGTACCGCTCCCTACCATCATTAGGTGTTTGAAAAGTAAACAAATGGATACGACAGTAGAAATTGGAGAGTTTAGAAAAAAATGGTGTCTAACACGCAGAATGTGTTTAGCAGATATCAGATAAAGATTGTGGTCATATTGTGGTTACTAGTAGTTCAAAGGCATCAAATACCACTTAGCGTAGGACTTGGGCTTTTCACTTTTTACAGAGACTTATGTTGGGCTAAATTCAGCACCACGAGGAGAGGTTGTAAGAACTATACGTGGTGAGTCAATTTAGGTCCAAATCTACTTACTTCGCACCTTTCCCGCCATCCACTCGCCTGTGGGACGACCTCCCTTGATTGGTTGGTTGACCTCTCTGTCGGACTACTAGATTCACGAGCAACAATATCAGTTGTGTAAGTGAGAATCTTCGTTACATTCAAAGCGTGAGAAATAGAGTAAGGCAAGAAGCAACACAGGAAGTTGTGGAGGCTAAAGTAATCATGGAAAAATCATAGGACTCCATAGTTTCCATATAATATGAAGAGCTTAAATTCTCTTATTGTCTTTTCCTTAGCGCCTATTATTTTGAAGTGTTTAATAATGATAATTATAGTAATAATGCCAATAATAATATTAGCCAACTCTTCTGTGCCATACAGGTTTTTGATGGTGAAATCTTTATTCGCCTGACTTTTCGACTAACTCGTCGTTATC